CATGCCAAAACCAGTAACAAAATCATGGTGGGGAAGGCAAAGGAGAACCAGGAGACAAAGGTGATGACACCACCATTATTAGGATAGAGCCTGTAAAATGCAGGAAGCTGTTAGCATCCAAAATTCCACATTCTCTTCTGTATTTACTTAATGAATTAGAACAGGGGAGGTACATTAAGGAAGAGAAGCTCACTTCCCAGCAAAGTTACCAAACTGATATTTTTTTCTCTGTGCTGCCTGGAAGTTGGTTGTACAGAATGATGCAGTTTTATGGGTATTAAATCCCACATTCAACCAGACTTACTCTTCAACTTGTCCTTGCAGTACCAGATTTGGTCCTGTCCCGGTCAGTGTTGCAATTCCTCCAATACTGGCTGCGTAACAAATAGAGAGAGACATTCCCTTGCAGAGTTTCAAGTGTTTCTGCTCCACCAGATCTTCGTTTCCCTCGATTGTCACGACATGAGTATTATCTGGATCCCAAGGAACAAAAGAGATGCAGAAGCTTGGTTGGACAGGAAAAGATATTGTGCCTGCAAAGCTCAGTATTTCAAGGCTAGGACACAAAGCTGAAGGAACCAAATTTGCCCTTTTTAAGACTTTAATTTTTTGATCTTCTCCCATTCTGCTGACACTTCTTGGTGAACTAGGGTGATGTCTGAACTGCACACGGAGGGGAGAGAGGTAAGAATTCCGGGAGTTACAACAGAGCCAGAGGAGCTGGGCTGAAGGGAATTTGTTCTGTACCAGCATCTGACTGCTGGCACTGGGACTTACAGAAACACTGGAGTCATCTCAAACATGAGGAGAGGACAAGACAGCTGGTAAAGAGATAGTGTTGCTTGATTGTGTAGCTTTGGACTAGAAAGATCATTTTAATCCCTACCCTTCTGGCTTGAAATGGGCCAGAAATTTTCCTGTGGGAATTCCATATTATCTGATCTGTCCACAGGAACTAAGACAAAGATGCAGAGAAATATCAAGCCTCATGGAAAGGCTTCAGCCAATGGAGAATGCATCCTGTTGTTGGTTTATTGATTAGTTATCATCTCTTTGTATCTTTTGATCTGTTTCGAACTTCAGTCAAGTCAGCAGATCTTATGGTGGTTTTGTGTGGCTCATGGAAGAGCCTCATCAGTGCTGTGTGATGCAGTCAGGATGCTTGAGGTGTGTTCTTCTTTTAGAATTTACTGGCAGCCCTTATGACAGTGAAGAAGGCATCAGGTCATCCTCCATCACCCCGAAGAGAAAGCTGCCCAGAATCCACTCACCTTTCCCCTCTGGAGTTGACCCTTGCTGCACTTCACCAGCACCACTGGACTCCAGTTCTGACTTGTGCAGCTGTTCCAGCACTGCCTGTGCTATGGGGACCATCATGGCAGTGGTGGCCGTGTTGCTGATCCACATTGACAGGAAGGCAGTCACGACCATGAATCCCATGAGAAGTCTGGAATGAGAAGGTTTGGAAAAGCTGGATCAGAACTCAGCACTGCAACGCTCTATTTTTGTTGCAAAGATTCGACCACAAGTGCTGGGTTTGGAACACGCTCAGCAATTCCCACCCAGCACTTCCTCTTACCCTGGCCTACTTTGGGAGCGACATGGTGAGATTTTATATTCATTTTTCTTTCTTTTTCTGATTTCAACCAATTTTTTACATTCTTATGACCAGGAAAGTGGAACCTGGTAGCTTGGAGCAAACAATTTACCTAGTCAGGTCCTGCTTATTCTGCATGCTTCCAAGGAAGACATGCCATCTCAAAAACACGTTAATGCAGTATAATGTATTGTAAAGAGGAATTCCAAGCTGAATTTTTATCCCAAGTGGCAATCAGTTTAAGCCATAAGGATGAGGATCTCTATTTTTCTGTAATTTTATCCCATCTCTATTATTTAGGATTCTCTTCTTACTCATCTAAAATTCTAATCCTTCTTTCAGTATTACTCTGTGATTTGCCTCAAAATTATTCTTTAGATGAGATGTAGATTATACATGAGATGGAAAGGGGTTTATCTTGTATGCATTTTTATTCTATTGCTTTGTAATTTCCTTCAGTATTCCCTCTCGTTAGGAGCTAAAATAGATTAAATAGGGTGCTGTAGCCTTTGCATAGCTTAGAGTTCTAGTCTGGAAAACACTTGTTGTTTTGCAAACAAGCATCCTCATGTTTTCTCTTCTCTTGGCAATCAGTGTAGCAGGCAGAGAGTCCATGTTTGCTGTGTTTCATCTGTGGTCTTTCCTGAGTGTCTGAAGCTGTGTCTTACCACCATTGACTCACTCTCTTGTTGCTATTTCTCCACCTAAAGCCATTTGGAATTCAAAAAAGGCACACCAGGTCTGTAACACTTCATGGGATCCCCATTTGCAAGGTTAGCTCAGGCACTAACTCGCTTGGACTGCAGGAAAGCATTTGTAGGCTGTGATTTGCAGATTCACATAAGAGATGGGGACTAATGCCACATAAGTTCTTTTATCCCATGGTCTTTACATGACTGTTACTCACAGGGCTGGTCTGACACCAGTGATAAGCAAGACCCGCAGAGCCATGCGCCTGTGTAGGTGCCAGTTCTCAATGGCAATGGCCACCAGTAGTCCCCCAACAAAAAGCATATTGGTGTTCTTTAAATATTCCCGACAGACCTGTAAAGTGGAACAAGGGAGAGAAAACAGTCAGAAGAAACCAAGAGAGAAGGCATTTTCTGAGGGAGGTTGTACCAAAGCCATTAGCACAGAGTAACAGTGGGTTGCATCTGAAGAGTGAATTTGCTTTGATTTCAGATTAGCAGCTCCACCCAGAGCTCACTGTGGGTTCGTGCAAGTTCTATTCCATGAAGAAGACAGCCAGTTCCCTGTGTAAGAGCAGTGGAATAGTAAAAGTAGTTATTAGTACTACTACTAAAGCTAATTATTGTTATTAGTATTGTTATTGTTAATGTTAATATTATTATTTTCTGAGAAATAATCCCAGAATAAGAGAAGTTGACCAATTAATATATAATGTATGATGTAAAATCTCTTACTGTGTTTGCATCCATGATATTCATTAGTGGGAACAGCAGGACGGGCAGGAGAGCTGTGACAGCCAATGGCAGGGCTTCTGTGCACCAGAAAACTGCCATCACTATGATAACATAACCACATCTGGCCTCCTGGGGGGCAAGAGGATGGAGAGGAGACAGGATCAGAACACTCCGCCTTCCAGAAGGCAATGGCACATAATTGCATTCATTGGCTTATACAGGGATTAGAGGAAAGCAGACAGGTTGGAGAAGGAAATCTGAAAAGATTCATGAAGAAATGAAAATATTCCTTTTTGAGCCTTATTTTTGAGCGAGAGCAGTAAGAACCTTAATTATCCATCCCGTCAAGCACTGAAAGAAATTTTTCATCTTGATGACCCTTTTTATCTATTTTTGTTCTTAAAAGACATCAATGAGTGCCTTTTGAGAGACCCTAGCAGGGCTTTGGGACATATGTCATAGGCACAATGTTATTGGCTTCCATCCTGCTGTGAACAGGCTCTTGATAAAAGTGGGAAAAAGGCTTTTCACAAAGTCGATTTCCCTGTAAGTATATTAATCTGTCTATAAGCTAAAACTTTAGCATTGTTTGCTCTCAATTTTAATAGTTTGATGTCCAGTGTTATGTCATTATAGGGCAGGTAAATAGCTGAACAGAATAGAAAAATGTGAAATTCCATCCTGTGAGAGAGTAATTTTTGAAGAGGAACTGCTTGATCCAGATCTCTTTTACCTTCAGGAACTCTTTTGCCCATGGAAAGTTTACTAAAACAAAAGCTACTTTTTCTGTTTTTCTTCCTAGTAAGCTTTTAAGTAATAATTTAAACTATTTTATTTGCATAGTGAGAGAGTAAGGTGCCACGCCTGAACAGTTACCACATTGCACCTCCAGCCAGTGCCACTCTATCATTCACGCTCGCAATCCTCAGGTCAGAGCTCCAAAGTCTCCGATAACACTGAGAGCTGTGAGGAAGAAAGAGCTTTGGGACAGGCAGGGAAGAGTTAGTGAAGTGCAGAAGGAAGCTTGGAGAAGGAGACTCTAAACTGGGAGTCAGCAGGGATCAGGAGACAGGCACAGGCAGAGAGCAAAGAGCTACGACTGGACGTCCAAAGAGCAGTGACAGGAGAGGTAGATCGGGATGAGTTATTTCAAGCTCCTGGGGCTGTAATAAGAGACCTGAAGTCCAGAGATGAGATATTTCTGCATGAAGAGATTGAGAGTGTGAGAAAGATGCCAGAGTGAAGAAAAGAAAAGAAAAGAAAAGAAAAGAAAAGAAAAGAAAAGAAAAGAAAAGAAAAGAAAAGAAAAGAAAAGAAAAGAAAAGAAAAGAAAAGAAAAGAAAAGAAAAGAAAAGAAAAGAAAAGAAAAGAAAAGAAAAGAAAAGAAAAGAAAAGAAAAGAAAAGAAAAGAAAAGAAAAGAAAAGAAAAGAAAAGAAAAGTCAAAGAAGATGGGCATTGGATACTGTTAGAAAATCAGAAGGGATTAAAACTGGACCTTAGATTGTAATTTAGGTTCACATCTATAGTCTTCAGCATAGGAAGTCCTTTGCTAAACCAGTCAGATGCAAAGCAAAAGTCCCAAAGCGCATGTCACTGAGTGTTCTTCAGGAAGACTGATGGTCTGTTCACTGTGTCACTTACAAGGAGCAGCTCCGAGATGCGGAGATTTGGCTTTTAAACAGGATTCAAAAAGTCCTTACCTTGGTAGGCACCGCCAGGGGCAGAGCGAGAGGCAAAACGATTACCGTGACGATGATGAGGTATTTCCTGAAGGCTAGGATCACCTCCAAGATGCCAGCCATGGCTCCGGAGCTATCCCAGTGCTGAAAGGCCTGGGATCTGCCGCTGGAGGCAACGGACACGGCCGTTCACCCGCCGCCAACCGCCCCCCGCGATCCCCCCGCCCGCGGCCGAGCCGCTGCCGTTCGGGGCCACCCAGTGCTGAAGGGGACTCTTAAACATTGTCTGCTAAACCGCGTCCATTCCAAATTGAGTTGGGGTTTATTAATATGAATTTGTTTTTTCTTTTTCTTTTTTTTTTCTTTAATTTTTTTTTCTAGCACTTGAATAGAAAACAGTACCTAAAGAATTAGTGTGGAATTATTTCAGGCTGAAGCTATGCGTGTGCTTCTAACGTACCATGAGCCTTGGATTTTTGCTTAACTTGATGAGAATTGCCTAACCTTAGATAAGGGATATAACTTCTGTAAGTAAGGGGGATTGAGGAAAGAACTTTGCAAGTCGGTAGGACGGATCTCTTCCAACTGACACCTAACTAATTAGCATTCAGCATTCAAGGAAAAATGAAAAAAAATGAAAAAAAAGAGTCATCCAAGGGGAAAAGAAGTCATCCAACACTACTAAGAATTAATATACGGTTGGAACAAAGACTGTGTAACACTGGACTCTAATTGTAATAAAAGGACGATAGATGGCAGCAAAGACCGTGAAATAATTACAGCAGCCCTATATAGTGGGGGGTGCGGAAAAGGCGGGATTTAACATGAATGTGTAATGACTTTCGCGAATATAAGGTTTTTGCTTTTGTCATTCCGTTCGACGCACTCGCGGAGGGTTATCCCCAGTGCTGTCAATGAAAAGGAACGCGACTTCACATTGGTCAGACTTTGATGCTGAGTAAATATCTTTGTTTCAGTACCTGTGGGACCGGCTGGGCGCCGAGCGCGGCTACCACGGCCACAACAGCAGCAGCTCCGCCGGCTGCGGGAACAGCAGCGCTGCCGCCGACCCGCTGCGGCAGGTGAGGGGGCACCGGGGGAGAGGGGACAAGGGAATCCTCAGGGAGCCCTGGGGGACCAGGGGGGAACAGGGAAGGGGAGCGGGAGAAAGGGGAGCTCCAGGGGGTAGATGGGGAGTCGGCGGGAGAGGGGACACCCAGGGGGAGCGGGGTGCCCGGGGGAAGCCCCGGGGAAAAGGGGAGTCCGGGGGAGCGGGGAGCTCCGGGGAAAGAGGGGACTCCGGGCGAGTGGATAAACCAGGAGCCCAAAAGGAGCAGGGGGTCCGAGGGGAGCCCTGGGGGTGCAGAGAGCCCATGGGAGTGGGGAGGAACAAGGGAAGAGGGGAGCTCGGGAGGAGTGGGGTGTCCGGGGAGACAGTGGAGCCCCAAGGGGATCAGAGAGCCCGGAGGGGAAGGGCAGCTTGGGGAGAGCGGGGGAGTGGAGAGCCCAGGGTGGCACTGGGTGCTGTTGAGAGTCCTGAGCCGCCTGTTTCTCTTGCAGGAGGTGGAAGCCCTGGTCTCCCACTGGAACCTCTACATCAACTTGGGGGGCTTCTTTGTCTGTCTCTTCTCCGTGACTCTGTTTGGACCGTGGAGCGACAGCGTGGGCCGCCGTCCGGCGCTCATCCTGTCAACAGCGGGCATAGCCCTGCAAACGTCCATCTACCTGCTGGTCATATACCTGGAGCTGCACGTCGCCTACTTGCTCCTGGGACGTCTTCTGAGTGGCCTGTCAGGAGACTACAACCTGGTCCTGGCCAGCTGCTTTGCCTACGTGACCGACAGCAGTGACAGGCGCGCGCGGACGTTCCGGGTGGCCATCCTCGAGGCGTGCCTGGGCATCGCGGGCATGCTGGCCAGCATCGGTGGTGGCCAGTGGCGCAAGGCCCAGGTGGAAGTTCTCTTTAATCCCTGGCTTTTTTCCTTCTTGTCACAGTGCATTTTGGAGCCAAGGACCTCTTGGTTTTGTGTGAGCTTGGCTTCCCTCTTTGCTGGGCTTTCTGACCTCGTTGGGTACGGCCTCCTAAATCCCTTTCAGAAAAGTTACAAATTTCCTAACAATGAGAGTATTCCTTAGGAATTTGCCTTGCTCATCATATTTTCTGTGGAAGTCGAGGAATACTGCAGCTAGAGATAAAACACCTTCTTGGTACCACAGCCTTTAACCAAGTTTCTGGCCAGTTAGTGACATGATTGGTTCTAAACAGGATGATTAATATTTAGCTAACTAGAAGACAGCTAACAGTGTTCTACTCCTGCCAGAGGCTTAGGCTAGCACATGATTATCTTCTTATAACTGGCTTGGCAGAAACGTGTGTGTGTTGGTTTGGGATTTCTGTGGGGTTTTTTTTGGTTTTTTTTTAGCCCCTTAACTATGTCTAATAAGCAGTACAACTGGTCTGTCTTCTTTCTTTCTTGGAGTGTGCTTGGATCTTCCTAACTGCAGTGCTCTGTAAGCAGCCAGTGCCAATACATGCACACCCTTTCAGCATTTCCCTGCTTCCATAGACTTTTGGGCAGCATTTGTCCCAAGGTTGCCAAAATTCACTTGCAATATTAATGGGAGAAATACAAATGCATCGTCAGGATTAATAGAGTTGTATTGTGGAAAAACTGGTTTAGGAATACAGCTAAGGTTTAGTTCTTGAATCATGGAATCTCAGGATATTTTTGGTTGGAAGGGACCTTAAAGATCATCTTGTTCCAAACCTCTGCCATGGGCAGGGGCACCTTCCACTAGACCAGGATGAAATGTGAGTTTCTTATGAGCTCATCACAGCCTCTGAATAATGTAGACTAACACAAAAGACTTCAAAGAGTCATAACACAGTTTTAAAGGGTTGGAAGGAGAGGCTGATGGGAAATGTTATAAGAATTCCACCTTTCCTGCTTAGCTAAGCAGGAATTTAGAAGGACATGTAAACTCTGTGCGAGTGTTTCAAAGAAAACAAAAAGCAAACAAAAGCTGTGCACGCTGCCCTGGTGCTGCAGACAAAGAGAGAAGAAGGGAGAGGCTCCCAGAAAATCATCTGCTTGAGTTTGTCATTTTTAGACCCTCAGACACAGGGTGAGTAGGCTAATGAAAATATTCAGGGAGATTTGGATGTTATTTGATAGAGGTAAATGCCAAGGGAAAGGAGAGTGGTTTACCAGTGACCTGAACAAGTCATTATGTGTTTGAAATCAATTATACCCAGGAGCTCATTAGCAACAGAGAATAAATGCCTGTCCTGCGTGTGCTGTGGATATTCTCTTGGATCCCTATCATACATCAAAACCCTGTCTGTCAAAGCCACTGAAGGGTTAATAACAGACTGTTCTTTCCAGGGCAGTGATTTCCTGGAGCAACTGGCCAGTGAAAGCATCAGTGCAAGAGGGATCAGTGACCAGCAGGCACCAGAATTGTCTGGAGAGTTGGAACTGGAAAGAAACTACTGCAGGTCAGTGAATTCTGCCATTTTGTAAGTGAAATGTACACTGCACAATGCCCTTGTCTCCTAATAGTTAGGACCGAGAAAAACAAAAGTTATTGAAGAGCACATACTTATTTAGGGTGAAATTCCCTCATGTTTAGTCTGGTGGAACCAGTATGGGGATGCCACCAGAGTGGGACTTCTGAAAAGCAACATTCTTTGTGCAAAATTTAGGCAGGCAGCAGCAGAACAAAGATTTCAGTGCAAACCTCAGGGGCACATGTTGAATAACTGCTCTGCCTGAACCCAACCTCAGTTATGATACTAAGAGATAGTTTTGGCAAAGTGTCTTTGGATATTCCCGTGGCTTTGTCAGTTTGGTCATTAGGAGTTTATGTGCTACTGAAAGTCAGTTGCAGCAGAATAGGGATTAAATATTTAAAAGGAAAATCTTGGGTTTGACATTCCAAGAAAATTCGACTGTCAATAATAATAAAGTATTTACTACTTTTAAGATAAGAGAAAATCAATTATGCTGATTTCTCTGATTATTTAAAGATATTTTAAATAAGGAAACAGACAAGTAGTTGATACATAGAAGACAGAAGCAGTGATATATAATTAAAAAATGACGCAGAACACAGAGGTACATTAAAAAAATCTTTAATTAAATCGTTTATTCTAGGACACAGGGGTTCTTTCCTTCTCAGGGGAACACTTCTGGTCCTATCATGATCTTGCAGGGTGTAATCTGACATAAATAACAATGGGGAAAAACATAGTCTTTTACATTCATAACAAGAGGCCTGCAAATAAATATATTTCAAAAATAGAAGGGGCTGACAGTATGTGATTTGTCTGTAATGCTGTCAATGCCCATAACAGTATATAACAATCATGTACGGTTTGAACATATACACATATACATGTGAATAGTCATGTTAATTGTGACAAGACACAGGTCTATGCATGAAATCAGGAACACAGAGTCTTTCTTTTATATATATATATACACACTTCTCTTTTTTCTCACAGCAGATTTACAGGTGGGGTGGAAAAGAACTTGGGGAAAATGCCCCTCCAGAGACAAAACTTCTAAAGGTTCCTGGGACAGCATAAAAGCCAAAAGGTTACTTCATCTTACTGACCAAATTGCCAGCTAACAGCACTGTTGTGCAATTTTATTGCTGTTATCAAGAGAATGGTTTTGCTTGCAGGTGACTTGTCCTTTTCCAGAAGACAGGCCTGTCTCTATACCACTGCCTTGGCAAAGCTGGTGTGGAGGCCAGTCCAGCTCTCACTGCAGCTCTAACAGGAACAGTCACTGCTCCCTTCGCCTCTCCACCTTATGGGCACGAGCCTGTCTTGTTTGCCCAAGATGGGAGAGTTTGCAGCTGGAACAAAGATGAAGACCAGGTATTGATGGCAAGAGTTATTGTCAGAACTCCCAGAATGTTGAGCACAAATCCAGCTTTGGCCTAGAATTATAAAAAAAGAAGCATTGTTAGTTGAACTGAGCACATTTTTTCCTTCCTTGCTGATCAGGATTGTTTGTATGGATAGATTTTGACTTTGATCTTTTTTTACGACTCAATCAGAACTCCATCAAATTACATTTAAGCTGGTTTTCTTCACAAATGTAATTTGTCCTGGGGGGAAACAAGTTTCCATCAGATAAAACTCCTTAACTAGAGGTCCTGAAATCCTTTGAACTCACTCATGTGGAACTTTCTCTTCTGACCTGGCATTAATCCCTAATGTTACTTTGGAATTCTTCTTGGATCACTTGTAAGTTAGAAAAGTTATCAAGAGACATGGCAAAGTTATCAAGAGACATGTCCATCTGTCTTTAACACGATGATTTCTCAGGGCATCAGGGCAGCCCAGTGAGATGTGCCAGACTGTCCCCCACCCCTGCAGAAGGACTGCCCAGATGACAGGGCTCTTTGACACCTCTATGCCCTACATGTGAGCTTTTCAAGCACTTAGACATGGCTGTTTCTCATTGGCAGCTCTTCTTGGAACATCTTCAAGAGGCCTTGGCTGTTCTTTAAAAGCTCAATAGCACCTTTCTGAGGCTCTGAGTGAGTGTGACCCTTTATTAATGCACACGTGTGTCTTCCTTCCATTTTACATCAGCCCAGCACAGTGAGATTTCTAACACTCTCCCAAGAAGAACCAGTATTAGAAAAAGGAAAGACCAAATCTAGAGGTGAAAATTCTGACAAGAACATGATTTTGCTCACCATATCAATAACCTTGAGCTGTCCATAGGAGAAGACAATGGCATTGGGAGGAGTGGCCACAGGGAGCATGAACGCCAGCGATGCAGAAAGTGTGCAGGGCAGCATGACATAGAGTGGGTTGAGGCAAATGGCTTCAGCCTGTGCAGGAGGAGAGAGCAAAGAAGCTGGTTTTGATACCCAAAACTGCAGAGAAATCTTTTGTCAGAAAACTGATTGTATTTGTCCCTGTCAGAAACCTCGTTCTTCATCAAACACTGCAGCCACTCAGGTTTTGGTGCTGCTTTAGACACTTCTAGTCCATGTCTTGCAACAGATGCAAGAATTGATTTTGTGGTCAGGGCTTTGTGTTCCTTATGCTGCTGTATAAATGGCTAATAATGCTTGCATTCACCTCTAAACCCTGGGAAAATATTGTAGAGTGGCTTCAAACTGGTTAAGAACAAAATGAAATTATCAGAGGAGACAGGGCAGCCCAAGCTCTGCAGGTGAGTGGATCAGTTTAAGGGTTTGCTGGAGTGTGTGGCCTATGCCAAAAGATTTTGGAGGAGCTTATTGTAGTTTCTCTCTGGAACCAGCTTTTCGTGGTGCAGAACTATGTCTACCCCAGCAACAGGAATCTCCAGTGGAAATGCAAGAAGTCTGAATTAGGTCATGCTATCACCCTCAGAGACTTCTGGAAGGCCAGTGGTCGGAGTGAAATACAGTAATGGAATGTTGCAGGGAAGCAAATGCTGCTGCTGTTGCTGTGTCCATGCAGAACAAATTGGAAAAAACAAGTACAGCTGGCAGTGACCTCATGGGGTTGTTTAGGCCAGAAGGCAAAGTCTAATATGCCAATGGATTTAATCCCTTTACTCTTCCCCAGCAATGATTTTAGAAGGGTTGAACTAAGCACAGTGTATTTATACAGAGATATATTCACACACATACACATTTGTGTAAGTCTTGTATCCCTGTTTGGACACACAAACCATTGCTTGGCTATGGCAGCCAGTTAATTTTGTCAATTGAGCCGATGTATGCTTGGAGAGGAGTTGAAAACTGTTTTTATAAGAACATTTTGAAATGCTGGAACCTACCATTGAAGCCACAATAGGGAGGAAGAGGGTGGTGGTGGCCACGTTGCTGGTGCACTCAGTGAAAGTGGCAACAAGGAGACTCAACAGGAAAGCAATTGCTGCGTGAGGGATGTTTTCAAGAGGAGTCAGTTGGTTACCTAACCATGTAGACAGACCAGATTCCTGTAACAGAGGAAAAAGGGCTATCAGGACAGTAGGTTGGTGAGGAAATAACCACATTGCAGTCCAGTTACAGTTCTCATGTCAATTCGACCTTCCCTTGTCATAGCAGTTCTCATACAAACTGCTCTCTGCAGAAAAACGTGTAGGAGCCAGTGTTCATAGAGAGGAAATGAACCTGCTTTCCCTTCCAAAGAATTTGAAAGAAGAAGATACTACATTTATAGGAAGACACAGATCCCAGGTAAGCCAAGGAATGTTACCTCACTGCCTTTGGCTAAGGCAAAACCACCTCCCAGCAGAAGCACAATGTGCCATGGCATTTTTTCGTGAACTATTTTCCAGTTCAGGAGAGGTGGAGGTGCTTGGAACTTCGACCTGCCACCTGAAATCCAAAAAGATTTTGTAAGCCCTATTACATTCTCCAAAGAAAGGAGAACTTCTTGGTGAGACCTGACTTTAGTCTGAACATCAGGAAACCCTTCTGTCAGCAAGATCTGGAATTACCTCCTGAAGCAAATGCTAAAAGCCTCACCAACAAAGGTTTTAAAACTTGACCTGCAAAACCACTAATGAATGATCTGCAGCTGCTTCCAAAAGCACAGTACGATGCAGGGAAGGGTGAGGAAAAAGTGTGCAAGATATCTGCAGAACTGTGTGTGTTTCTGTTGTTTTCTCTCCTGAAGATTCCAGCCTCAGAAGCTTTTACACACGTGTATAGTAGAGTCAGGAACACTGCTGGGATAAGAGTTTCCTACTTGGTTAAATAATGAGAAGCAGAGAACTTTTATGGGATATGTGCCTTGCCTAACCTAAACAGAAGCTGTAGCTATGCAGGAAGAGCAGTTTGAAATCTTATTTAATATTTGAAATTTCCTTTGTAAACCTCAAATGTGAAACTTCTCATGTACCTATTCTGGCAGTTGATTTTTGATGCTTCACTAAACTCACCTGTTTGTGCATTGTTGGAAAAGCCAGAAGGAATGATGAACAACAAAAGTGAAATAAAGATGGCAACTGTAGCATCAGTGACGTAGCTGCAACAGACCAGTCAGATATTTAGTCAGCTATGTTTTCATTTCTATAAAATCCAGCATGCTTATTTTACTCAAATTGAGGAAGAAAAGTGGTAGTACCTTATATCATCTTTGTTGAAAAGAACAGTTGCCCAGCCTGGTATGAACCCAGGTTCTCTTGTAAACCAGAGCAGTACCAGGAGTATGAACAGGATCAAAACTACTATTTCTGAAAATTTCATTCTGCCCAACTTCCTGCTCTCTTCCTTGATGACAGCATAGGCCTCTTTCTCCTTAGCCTTGGCAGAGGGACTTGAACCACAACCAAAATTTTTCTTAAAACTAGAAGAAATGGACAAGAAATATCAGAGACACTTGCCAGATGGCCTCAGTTAAGAATTCAAATTTTAGACTCAGTCATAATGTCTTTTAGATATATGAATATTGACATTAAATATATTATAATCATAGCATTGGCAGTCATGGTGGGTACTAACTGCATTGCACCATGGCTTGCCAAGGTGATCAGAAGGAAGCTTCTGCCAAGGGCAGGGATACCTTCCATTAGACCAGGACAAGGTCAGTGTGACTGACAAGGCTATATGATCACTAGGAAGTAAAGAGTTGCCAAGCTTTTTAAAATGACAGAAAATGAGAATTTTAAAGGAGGAATTTGAAGATGAAAATACCATTTCAGGTATTACAGCACTCTTGCTGTGTAAAAGAAGGGAGGTTGGGGATAATACAAACTTGATAGGCTAAGTATTAAACAGGTAGGTAATGTAAGCTGGGTATTGGGGGTGATTAGCATTGGAAATAATAGCACAAGACTAATCCTCTGGGTCTGAAGCAACTCTTGTCACAAAGGCATTTCCTGCTTTGAAGCACAGCAATCTCTTGGGACATGACAACAATGCCACAGAACAGGTCATATGCTGTTAGAAATTCCTATTTGCATCTACAGAGTGTGTTTATCTGGGATTTGATCAGATTCCTCAGAGAAAAAGGTGCAGTATTTTAACAGACACTGAGTGTGCTGTTCTGCTTGTCTCTGTTCTGTGTGAGGAATTTGTCACTTGCTGTGTGACTTTCCTCATCAATAAAAGGATCACTTGTGCAATGAGTCCTTGATCACAGGCCCATCAGCTGGAAGGCAGAGGGTGAAGGGTACTCACTTAAAGCCCAAGTACAGTATCTGTAGCCAAATCCATGCCAAAACCAGTAACAAAATCATGGTGGGGAAGGCAAAGGAGAACCAGGAGGCAAAGTTGATGACACCGCCATTATCAGGAAAGAGCCTGTAAAATGCAGGAAGCTGTTAGCATCCAAAATTCCACATTCTCTTCTGTATTTACTTAATGAATTAGAACAGGGGAGGTACATTAAGGAAGAGAAGCTCACTTCCCAGCAAAGTTACCAAACTGATATTTTTTTCTCTGTGCTGCCTGGAAGTCAGTTGTACAGGACGATGCAATTTAGCGGGTTTGTAATCCCACATTCAACCAGACTTACTCATTAACTTGACCTTGCAGTACCAGATTTGGTGTTGTCCCAGTCAGAGTTGCAATTCCTCCAATACTGGCTGAGTAACAAATAGAGAGAGACATTCCCTTGCAGAGTTTCAAGTGTTTCTGCTCTACCAGATCTTCATTTCTCTTTCTGTCTTCCTCGATTGTCAGGACATGAGCATTACCTGGATCCCAAGGAACAAAAGATATTGTGCCTGCACGACTCAGTATTTCAAGGCTAGGACACAATGGACTCAAAGCTGAAGGAACCAAATTTCCTCTTTTTAAGACTAGCATTGTTAATTTTTTGATCTCCCATTTTGCTGACACTTCTTGGTGAACTAGGGTGATGTCTGAACTGCACATGGAGGAGAGAAAGGTAAGAATTCCGGGAGTTACAACAGAGCCAGAGGAGCTGGGCTGAAGGCAACTTTTTCTGTACCAGCATCTGACTGCTGGCACTGGGACTTACAGAAACACTGGAGTCATCTCAAACATGAGGAGAGGGCAAGACAGCTGGTAAAGAGATAGTGCTGCTTGATTGTGTAACTTTGGACTAGAAAGATCATTTTAATCCCTACCCTTCTGGCTTCAAATGGGCCAGAAATTTTCCTGTGGGAATTCCATATTATCTGATCCGTTCCACAGGAGGCAAGAATTGAACTAAGACAAAGATACAGAGAAATATCAAGCCTCATGGAAAGGCTTCAGCCAATGGAGAATGCATCCTGTTGTTGGTTTATTGATTAGTTATCATCTCTTTGTATCTTTTGATCTGTTTTGAACTTCAGTCAAGTCAGCAGATCTTATGGTGGTTTTGTGTGGCTCATAGAAGAGCCTCATCAGTGCTGTGTGATGCAGTCAGGATGCTTGAGGTGTGTTCTTCTTTTAGAATTTACTGGCAGCCCTTATGACAGTGAAGAAGGCATCAGGTCATCCTCCATCACCCCGAAGAGAAAACTCACCTTTTTCCTCTTTTTCCACTTTTTCCTCTTTTTCCTCTTTTTCCTCTTTTTCGTTGGAGTTAACAGGTGGAGTTGACCCTTCCTGCAGCTCAAAGGCTTTGTTGTCGTTTTCAGACGCTTGGCCAGCACCACTGGACTCCAGTTCTGACCTGTGCAGCTGTTCCAGCACTGCCTGTGCTATGGGGACCATCATGGCAGTGGTGGCTGTGTTGCTGATCCACATTGACAGGAAGGCAGTCACGACCATGAATCCCATGAGAAGTCTGGAATGAGAAGGTTTGGAAAAGCTGGATCAGAACTCAGCACTGCAACGCTCTATTTTTTTTGCAAAGATTCGACCACAAGTGCTGGGTTTGGAACACGCTCAGCAATTCCCACCCAGCACTTCCTCTTACCCTGGCCTACTTTGGGAGCGACATGGTGAGATTTTATATTCATTTTTCTTTTTTTTTTCAATTTCAACCAATTTTTTACATTCTTATGACCAGGAAAGTGGAACCTGGTAGCTTGGAGCAAACAATTTACCTAGTCAGGTCCTGCTTATTCTGCATGCTTCCAAGGAAGACATGCCATCTCAATAACACATGTTATTGCAGTATAATATATTTTAAAGAGGAATTGGAAACTGAACTTGATCCCAAGTGGCAATCAGTTTAAGCCATAAGGATGAGGATCTCTATTTTTCTGTAATTTTATCCCATCTCTATTATTTAGGATTCTCTTCTTACTCATCTAAAATTCTAATCCTTCTTTCAGTATTACTCTGTGATTTGCCTCAAAATTATTCTTTAGATGAGATGTAGATTATACATGAGATGGAAAGGGGTTTATCTTGTATGCATTTTTATTCTATTGCTTTGTAATTTCCTTCAGTGTTCCCTCTCGTTAGGAGCTAAAATAGATTAAATAGGGTGCTGTAGCCTTTGCATAGCTTAGAGTTCTAGTCTGGAAAACACTTGTTGTTTTGCAAACAAGCATCCTCATGTTTTCTCTTCTCTTGGCAATCAGTGTAGCAGGCAGAGAGTCCATGTTTGCTGTGTTTCATCTGTGGTCTTTCCTGAGTGTCTGAAGCTGTGTCTTACCACCATTGACTCACTCTCTTGTTGCTATTTCTCCACCTAAAGCCATTTGGAATTCAAAAAAGGCACACCAGGTCTGTAACACTTCACGGGATCCCCATTTGCAAGGTTAGCTCAGGCACTAACTCACTTGGACTGCAGGAAAGCATTTGTAGGCTGTGATTTGCAGATTCACATAAGAGATGGGGACTAATGCCACATAAGTTCTTTTATCCCATGGTCTTTACATGACTGTTACTCACAGGGCTGGTCTGACACCAGTGATAAGCAAGACCCTCAGGGCCACACGCTTGTGTAGGTGCCAGTTCTCAATGGCAATGGCCATCAGCAGTCCCCCAATGAAAAGCATATTGGAGTCCTTTAAATATTCCTGACAGACCTGTAATGTGGAACAAGGGAGAGAAAACAGTCAGAAGAAGCCAAGAGAGAAGGCATTTTCCGAGGGAGGTTGTTCCAAAGCCATTAGCACAGAGTAACTGTGGGTTGCATCTGAACAGTGAATTTGATTTCAGATTAGCAGCTCCACCCAGAGCTCACTGTGGGCTCGTGCAAGTTCTATTCCATGATGAAGACAGCCAATTGCCTGTGTAACAGCAGTGGAATAATATTAATAGTAATTATAATAATAATAATAATAATAATAATAATAATAATAATGGGAAATAATCCCTGAATAAAAGAAGCTTATTAATGACTGATTAACACATAGGCCAATGTCTATGGAGTAGGATCTCTTACTGTTGTTGAATCCATGATATTCATTAGTGGGAACAGCAGGACGGGCAGGAGAGCTGTGACAGCCAATGGCAGGGCTTCTGTGCACCAGTAAAGTGCCATCACTATGATAACATAACCACATTGGGCCTCCTGGGGGGCAAGAGGGGAAGAGGAGATATGATCAGAACACACTGCACATGGCACTTGGTCTTCCAGAAGGCAACAGCCCATAATTGCATTTATTGCCTGATAAAGGGATTAGAGAAAAGGTTATTTCCTGTCCTTGTCTTCCATGTATCCTCCGACCTATGCAGACTTTAATCAAATGACAAACTGTTCAATAACCTTGTCAGAACTCTGAGGAAAAGACGAATCCTCCAGGGGGCGAAAAAATATTAACTTAGGAAAAGAAACAAATGGATGACTTTGAACCTTTCATGATAAGGGATTGGGAGTCACTGCACAGGATTCGTGATTGTGCTGATAGTGTTATATTCTGTATTTATGTCCTTGAGTTGCAGAAATAATTATGATCCAGTCAAGGCTTCTTCACCTTTTGCTTCACGTGTTCCAGGATATGGCAAAGCCCAACTAATCTCAATAGCCTGGATTCCTTGTACTGTAAATACTTTTAAAATTTTTCATTGGATTCTTAGCTTAGTAGAAGCTTTGAAAGGCTCACTGACAGACTGGTCACAGGTCCTTTCAGCTTTCACTGACTTGTTTGTTTGACAAAAGCATGATCCCCTATTTCATATTACTCACCTTCTGAGAAAACATTGATTTAGTTCTGCTTTGAACAACCCCTCCAAATTTTATATAAAAATGTTTAAGACAGTCAGATTCAGAATTTCTTGTCACAACAGATTTTCATATGGTTGGGCTGGGGATGAAAGCTAGAAGAAGTTATATTGCAGGTTGTGGTGTCTTCCTTGTTTTGGAACTCGTGCAATAATGGGTGACAGCAAATCCAAAGGAAGCAAAACGTGGTTGTTTGGCCTTGGATAAAGAATGTCCACTAAAATATACTGGACAGTATGAATGAAATCATAGGGATGCTTATTGAAGCTGGATTACAGAGGATTAAAACAAGGAGCTGGGGTAACGGCTGGCAGGATTGAATTTGTGATGCTTTAGAACAGGCTCAGGACTTCTGAATGTGTCATGGAGGGTATGGAGCTGGTGACTGGGATGAAGGGGGGAGCAGCAAGAACCTTAATTATCCATCCCATCAAGCACTGAAAGAAATTTTTCATTTTGATGATCCTTTTTATCCATTTTTGTTCTTAAAAGAGACCAATAGGTGCCTTTTGAGAGACCCTAGCAGGGCTTTGGGACGTATGTCATAGGCACAATGTTATTGGCTTCCATCCTGCTGTGAACCTGCTCTCGGTAAAAGTGGGGAAAAGGTTTTTCACAATGTCAGTTTTTCTGTAAGGACACTTGTCTGTCCTTAAGTGAAATTTTTAGCATTGTTTGCTCTCAATTTTATTAGTTTGGTGTCCAGTGCTATGTCATTATAGGGCAGGTAAATAGCTCAAGAGAACAGAAAAATGTGAAATTCCATCCTGTGAGCTGCCTGCTCACATCACTGCTGCACATGGAGGCAACAGCTTTTCCTGCTCAGCATTGCCACGGTGCACAATTCTAACCCAAAAAAAATCTTCTTACAGGTTGCAAAGGGAAAAGTCCAGGACATTTTAAATTTCTATGTTGTTGCTGACTACATAGTAACCAGAGAGAGTCATTTTCACAGAGGAACTGAGGCAAGACTGCCAAATCATTCCACAGGTAACACCATGGACTTAGTGTATGTAACAATGCCTCCAGCAAGTGAGCTTGAACTTCTGGCCTCAAGACAAAAAAAAAATAATCTCTCTCTGGCTTCTTAGAACTCTTCTGATCCAGATCTCTTTTCCCTTCAGTAACTCTTTTGACTATGAAAAGTTGACTAGCAAAAAAAGGTACTTTTTCTGTTTTTCCTGCTAGTAAGCTTTTAAGTAATAATTTAAACTATTTTATTTGCATAGTGAGAGAGTAAGGTGCCATGCCTGAACAGTTACCACATTGCACCTCCAGCCAGTGCCACTCTATCATTCACGCTCGCAATCCTCAGGTCAGAGCTCCAAAGTCTCCGATAACACTGAGAGCTGTGAGGAAGAAAGAGCTTTGGGACAGGCAGGGAAGAGTTAGTGAAGTGCAGAAGGAAGCTTGGAGCAGGAGACTCTAAACTGGGAGTCAGCAGGGATCAGGAGACAGGCACAGGCAGAGAGCAGAGGAAAGAGTTATGACTGGACGTCCAAAGAGCAGTGACAGGAGAGGTAGATTGGGACGAGTTATTTCAAGCTCCTGGGGCTGTAATAAGAGACCTGAAGTCCAGAGATGAGATATTTCTGCATGAAGAGATTGAGAGTGTGAGAAAGATGCCAGAGTGAAGAAGCAGCAGAAGACTGGCAGGCTGCTGGCTCACAGAGCTCTGTTTAAATGGTCATTGGTCAATGTCCTGGATCAGGGATCAAAATGATCAATGCCCCACTACTACAGCTGCTTGTAGTTAACTTTTTCTGAAGGTACCCTAAGCAAGGTGTCTTCAAAACTTCATTTTAAATTGAAAACCCTTGTTTGGGAAGATTCTTACAGAAATATGCTAAACCAAGAGTGAAATACATAGTATTTTTCCTTATGCGTCAGAATGCCTTGTCCCTCTGACCAAGGAAAATGCCTCTTCTACATGGCAGTGGCAACAAGGAAAAAGAAGCTGTGGACTGGATATTGTTAGAAAATCAGAAGAGTGTTTAAATTGAACCTTAGATTGGAACTTAGGTTCACACCTGTGTGAATCTTCAGCATAGAAAGTCCTTTTCTATATCAGTCAGATACAAAGCAAAAGTCATAAATCACATGTCACTGAGTGTTCTTTTAGAAGATGCAATTACAGATGTATCTGTTTATCCATCATTGCTTTTATACTGCCCCAATATCTGTAGGTGTCTGATCAGAAAACAAACAAAAGAGATCTTCAAGCAACAAATGAAGGTTCTCTGAGAAAGAATCTGTGTGGTCTGTTCACTCTGTCACTTACAAGGAGCAACTCTGAGATGCAGAGATTTGGCTTTTAAATTGAACTTAAAAAATCCTTACCTTGGTAGGCACCACCAGAGGAAGAGGAAGAGCGAGAAGGGGTACTAAAATTATGATGAGGTATTTCTTGAAGGCCAGGATCACCTCCAAGATGCCAGCCATGGTGCTGGAGCTAGCCCAGTGCTGAAGGCCTGGGATCTGCTGCTGGAGACTTTATAAACACTGGGGAATATTAACCATTGACCTCAGGAGATTGGGTGTTGATTTTGGAACTGTAATCGGAGAAAGAAGGAAGGGAACAAAGAAGGGAGGAGACAGCAAAAGAGTGTCAGACCAGGAACTTTCTTAAGAAATCTTCCTGAAAGGTGGACAGTTCAGGACAGTATTAACTCCTTGTAGACCAAGTAAATTTATTAAAAGCAAACTGAAAGTACCTAATTTTTTTAAAATATTAATGGTTTTGTCTTTAATAATATAATCTTTGAATAGGTACTGTCATTCCTCCTATAAAAAAAGGGAAACTGCTCCCTCCAAAATGGGTTAAAAATTGCTTTAAAAATATGTAGAGCACTGAAAACCACATCTGCATCTCTAATAATCAAATACAGGCATTAGAAACAACGATGCAAAATGTTATATAAACATCATTGCGTTCACTAAGAAATTCAATCTGGGTAGCATAATCCACTGGGCAGAGCTCCTGTCACCAGGTGCCACATCAAGTTCCTGGCACGCAGGGACTGACAGTCCTTACCCTGGATCTTAGTGGACTGGGAAAGACTTGGCCACAGGGCATCACTTTGCAGACATTGGGCTTTTTTGTTTCACCTTTCAGCTCTTGCAGGTTTATAGGCACAATTTTGGGAACCTGGAGGATGTACTGGGGGCAAAAAAAGTAAAGAGAAAAAAAAAGGCACTACAGGGAAATTACCAGCAATTCTTGTCCCAGTTGCAGGAAACCTCCAAAATACAAGCTGTGAATTACTAGAATCTGTAAATACACAGGAATGGAACCAAACTTTTTGATGTGTCTCGTTAATGTCACTTTGATGGCTTTATTTGGTAGATCATACAAGCGCATGCCTCATATAAAGATTATAACATTTCCATTTTATTGGTATAAATTGTCTTGGCGCTGTTTATAGCTTACTCAAGCAGAGACACAAAAAGGGAAGCACAGACATTAGGTCATCTGATGTCGGCTCCACAAAAAGCTTCTGCTGTTTCTCTCTCCCTTTTCTGCCAGGGTTTGTTTTCTTTCAGCAATGTGCTTATGATGGAAAACCAGTGGGGTTTCAGTTGCCAGAGCTGCAAGCTCGACTTGGACATACTGCTCACAACAAACAGAGCTTTAGCATTTCACCCTCAGTACAAAAAGAATGAGAAAGAGCTTTCAAATGAATTATATTCCCCCACATTTTTGCATCCATTTAATGTTTAATTAGTGTCTGAAAAGGTGTAGTGGCAAAATCAGCCAACAGCAAGGTATTTTTTTTGTACGTTTTACTCTAATGCCCTAAGGTTGCAATGAAAATCTAAAAGAACACATCGTTTTTGCATCTCTGTAACATGAAGGTCGGCCTCCAACTGCAGCCTCATCTGTGGAGTGTAAATAACAACCTGGAAGGGTCTCAGCTGATGAATTGTGCCTATTCTTCACAAGCAACACGTCCTCATCGATCATTTCCTCTGTCAGGTGAGTCACAATACCTGCAAAGATGCTAGAAATGAGTTCTCTAAGTGTGTTATGGTTTGTCTTGTTTGAGCTTTGCCTGTGGCCCATTAACAGTCCCTTGGAGTTGTCAAAGGAGCAATGCCAATTTACGTTAGTTTGCAACAGTTTATATAAACGGGTTAATCTAACACTCTGAATCGCGTGCTTTGAATTCTAACAGCAACTTGGTCTTTGCTCACTGATCTGCTCTTTGAGACAGACCTCATAGGAAACCAAACAGCACAGCCAAAGCCTCTTTTATTAACTGAGCTTATACATTATTTTGTCATTTGTAAAAAGAAGTGTTTTCTAATGTGCTGTGAATTAATATAAGTGATCACATATTGCTAATGACATTTCACAGATCCGACTGCCTTTAAAATGTTGACTTTTGCTTTGTTTGGAGAGAAGAAAAAACAGGGTTTACGTTTAAATTTCTTCAGCCATCAGGCTGGGGAGCAGCCCAGTAGAAAAGGACCTGGGGGTGCTGGCTGACAGCCGAACTTGAGCCTGCGTGTGCCCAGGTGGCCAAGGGCAACCTGGCTTGTAGCAGCAATAGTGTGGCCAGCAAGACTAGGGCAGTGCTGGCCACTGCTGAGGCCAGACCTTGAGTCCTGGGCTCAGTTTTGGGCCCCTCACAACAAGAGAGGCATTGAGGCGTTGGAGCGTGTCCAGAGAAGGGAACGGAGCTGGGGAAGGGTCTGGAGCACAAGTCTGATGAGGAGCAGCTGAGGGAGCTGGGGGGGTTCAGCCTGGAGAAAAGGAGGCTCAGGGGGGACTTTATCAGGGTTAGAGGGGAAGCTGAACAAGGGATGGCTGAGGTCACTCGTTTTGTTCAGCCTGGAGGAGACCAAGGGGAGCCCTCATCGCGGTCTGCAGGTTCCTCATGAGGGGCAGAGGAGGGGCAGGGACTGTTCTCTCTCCTCTGGTGACCAGCGACAGGACTTGAGGGAGTGGCATGAAGCCATGCCATGGGGATTTAGATTGGGTATGACGGAAAATTCCTCCACGGAAAGGGTTGTCCAGCCCTGGCAGAGGCTGCCCAGGGCAGCAGCGGAGTTACCATCCCTAGAGGGATTTAAGAGTGTGGATATGGCACTTGGGGACACGGTTTAGCGGTAGCCTTGGCCATGATGGGTTAACGTCGGTCTCGATGATCTCAGAGGGCTTTTCCCACCTCAACAATTCTATGAAACAACACGCGGCGAGGGGGAGAAGGTGGGGGGGAGCTGAGCGCTGCTTCTTTATCACCGGACTCGCTGCGGCGGCAACACCGAGGGATCCCGGGGACTCGCTGAAGCCTCCCGGCTCCCGCGGGCGGCGGGGCGGAGCGGAGGGGCCCGGCCCGGGCGGAGCGGAGCCTGTCCCGGCCGGGCCGGCCCGCGCCGCTCCCGCCCCGCCATGGCCGCCATGGCCGAGCCGCCGCCGCCGCCGCCCGGCGCCCCCCCGGCGCCCCCCGCCCGCCGCCGCCTTCGCCCGGGGCTGCTGCCCGCGGCCGAGCCGGTGCTGTTCCTGGCCACCGTGTCCGTGGTGCTGCAGGGCCCGCTCACCACCCAGTACCTGTGGGACCGGCTGGGAGCCGAGCGCGGCTACCACGGCCACAGCAGCAGCGGCTCCGCCGGCTGCGGGAACAGCAGCGCTGCCGCCGACCCGCTGCGGCAGGTGAGGGGGCACCGGGGGAGAGGGGACAAGGGAATCCTCAGGGAGCCCTGGGGGACCAGGGGGGAACAGGGAAGGGGAGCGGGGGAAAGGGGAGCTCCGGGGGGTAGATGGGGAGTCGGCGGGAGAGGGGACACCCAGGGGGAGCGGGGTGCCCGGGGGAAGCCCCGGGAAAAAGGGGAGTCCGGGGGAGCGGGGAGCTCCGGGGAAAGAGGGGACTCCGGGCGAGTGGATAAACCAGGAGCCCAAAAGGAGCAGGGGGTCCGAGGGGAGCCCTGGGGGTGCAGAGAGCCCATGGGAGTGGGGAGGAACAGGGGAAGAGGGGAGCTCGGGAGGAGTGGGGTGTCCGGGGAGACAGTGGAGCCCCAAGGGGATCAGAGAGCCCGGAGGGGAAGGGCAGCTTGGGGAGAGCGGGGGAGTGGAGAGCCCAGGGTGGCACTGGGTGCTGTTGAGAGTCCTGAGCCACCTGTTTCTCTTGCAGGAGGTGGAAGCCCTGGTCTCCCACTGGAACCTCTACATCAACTTGGGGGGCTTCTTTGTCTGTCTCTTCTCTGTGACTCTGTTTGGACCGTGGAGCGACAGCGTGGGCCGCCGTCCGGCGCTCATCCTGTCAACAGCGGGCATAGCCCTGCAAACGTCCATCTACCTGCTGGTCATATACCTGGAGCTGCACGTCGCCTACTTGCTCCTGGGACGCCTTCTGAGTGGCCTGTCAGGAGACTACAACCTGGTCCTGGCCAGCTGCTTTGCCTACGTGGCCGAGACCAGTGACAGGCGCGCGCGGACGTTCCGGGTGGCCATCCTCGAGGCATGCCTGGGCATCGCGGGCATGCTGGCCAGCATCGGTGGTGGCCAGTGGCGCAAGGCCCAGGGCTACATCAACCCCTTCTGGCTGGCCTTTGCTGCCTCTCTTGCTGCCACCCTCTATGCTGCTTTCTGCCTTCGGGAGTCAGTGAAGCAGAGGAGACCGGCCAGGCTGTTCACGCTCAGCCATTACAAGGCTGTGTACAGGCTGTACATGGCCCCAGAGCACCCGAGCTCCAGGTGGAAGCTCGCTCTTTACTCTCTGGCTTTTTTCCTTCTTGTCACAGTGCATTTTGGAGCCAAGGACCTCTTTGTTTTGTATGAGCTTGGCTTTCCTCTCTGCTGGGCTTCTGACCTCATCGGGTACGGCTCCGCCGCCAACTACCTGGCTTACCTGAGCAGCCTGGGAGGGCTGCGGCTGCTGCAGCTCTGCCTTGAAGACAGCTGGGTGGCAGAGATAGCATTGATCTCAAACATTGCCGGACTGGTTGTGATTTCTCTCGCTACCACGACAGCACTGATGTTTACAGGTGATGCTAAATTCTTAAATCCTTATATTTCCGGCTTAGCGCAGAGATGCCAGTAGATGCAGGAGGGCACTGTGCTTCTGAGAGGTCAAGCACATGGAGGAAGTTCTGCCTCCATTTCACCCTGTGCACCAACAAAGCTGTGTCTTGCTGATGGCAGTGTTGGCCAAACACTAAAGTTGAACATGCATCCATATTTCCTAGAATGTTAGGTTTCCCAGAGCTGTATTACAGGCTAAAGTGGATTATAGGATCTAGGAGGATGAATTGAGTCTAAATACAGCAGGGAGAAACTGCCTGCAGCTACAGATTTCTGGGACTGACTTTGGAGACTTTATTTTTCAGCTGAGCTTTCCCTAATGTGCTGTATCTTGCTCACAGGTTATGGGATTCTGTTCCTTTCCATGGCAGCCACTCCAGTCATCAGATCCAAGCTCTCCAAGCTGGTCAGCGAGACGGAACAGGGTAAGGAGTTAGCTGGTGTGCTTAAACCAGGTCCTGAAACACTGTCTTCTTGGAACACTGAAACCAAAATGTTTGAGGAAGTTAGGACTTCTCTGGTTCTTCTGGACTCCTGTGTCCTTGCACTCACCTTCAAACCCAGGATAGCATTTTATTTTTTTCAGAGTAATTGTCATTCACTGATTTACACTTGCTGCATTTTCAAGATGAGGACAAGGAAAAGCAAGATGAAAAGAATTTGCAGGAATGGTTCATTAATCTATCTGTTCATCTCCAAAAGTTTTACAAGGAGCAAGAGTTAAAATGGGTTATATAACAAGGAGAAGAGAGCAATTCTCCTGACCATAACTTTTCTCTGTAGATCAGTAACAGGGGGAAGACCCAGATGATGTTGGAGGGTTATATCATTGACTGTGGTAAAAGATCATGGATAACCTGTAGGAGGAGCATATTTGCCTTTCGTCCAGTAATGTATTTGGAGATTGTGCACTTGCTGTGAAACATGGCATAGGAATGTGTCTGAGGCAGAGGGAGGAGGGAGTTGAGGTAGGAACAATCAATAGGGGATTTTGCAGAATTCACGTTTCTTATTTTAGAATGAAGATGCCGCGTACTCGACACCAGATTATGATGCTAAATCTATAAATTGCTGTCTTCTGCTGTACTTAATATTTAACAAGTGATAAGATATGCTTTTCAGTAAACAGATCTATATAGCCCTAGTCTGAACCATTTACAATCCAGCTGATAGATAATATCCCTGGTCAGCCCAGGCGATACCAATTCCGCAGGTCGGTGAGATGGTCCTGGCTACGGAGAAGCAAGTGGGACAGGTTTAACCTGCCAGGCCAACTCTGTGTCCCAGCTTACCACACTTGAGACTCACACACCAGTTTTCTGATGGGAAGTGCAAACCCTTAGGAAGATTCACAGAATCCCGCTGAAGGTGATGTGTTAAAGCCATTTGCAGGCATTAACCACCTGTCTGTCTCACCATTAATCTCTTTTCTCTTTTCCAGGTGCTCTCTTTGCTTCTGTTGCCTGTGTGCAAGGGCTGTGTTCCCTCGTGGCTACAGGAGTGTTCAACTCTCTCTACCCTGTGACCTTGCACTTCATGAGAGGATTCCCGTTTCTCTTTGGGGCTATAATCCTTCTTATTCCGGCAGCTATCATTGGGTAATTTAGTTCAAATTTCTAAACTTTGCCACAGGACCTGTGAAATGTCATGTGGAAAATATTATTTACTCTTCTTAGGAGAGACAGTTTTTAAGGCATATTTTCAATTGAGCTTATGAGAGGGTGTTTGGTACCCCAGTAAACAGAGATGCAGGTCATTTCTTCTGGAATCTGAGTCCTAGAGATAAACCTGCAGCCTGAGTAATGTAGCTGCAAATATTCAGAATGCTTCAAAGTTTCACTCCACCCTCAATGGAATCCAAAACCTTTCCAAAACAAATTTGAAATTCCTCCTTTATGGGAGAGACGGAGCTCTCAGCAGTCTCTCTTCCTGTCATTTCTTTAATAATTAAAGCAAAAGTTGTATTGTGATAGAAAACATCCCGTGGTAGGTTCTGGGAGAAGGAATGTGTTGGGATTTGCAGTAGAAGTGCAACAGCTCTTGGCAGGGTCATTCTGTTCCTTTGAAACTTTAAAACTCACTTAATTCAGTGACATCCCAGTGTGCCTTCAAAGGTTCT